GAAAAAAAGACGTTTAAGTGCGCCTTATAGTCGTGAAAATACGGTAATTAAATTTAGATTTCTTTGCCAAAGCATATCATCCATCATCAAATTAATAGTCTTCAGTGACGGGGCCCAGGGCTAGTTCTATGGGGGCACCGGTCTAGCCCCTGCTAGCAGATATTTGAAGTGTAAACTGATTGTGCAAAGATAAATTATCCAAACCCCAACCTTATGCTTCATTTGTACCATATTAATGATTTTCTCAGCTTAGTAAATGTTTCTAAAGGTTGCATTTTTTTTAAGCTAACAGTGATATTATGCTGCAATCTTAATAGCTGATTCTTTTTTAAGCTTTAACTAATCTTTGCTGCAGTATAAGGTCTTTGGATTAACCAGTTAATCTATTTTATGCTAGTTCCTAAAAAATAAAATTCAGCATTGCTCTTGGCTATATCAGTTAGGTCTGTATCAGGTAGTAAAGCTTTTATTGCTAACTGCAGTGTGAGCTCTAATAGCCATTTATCGGGCACTCAGTGAAATACTTTGAAAAATAAAATTTCAAGACGATAGTGTTACTGGAATCCAGGACAAGACCTTATTACCTTTGCAACATAAAAAATATGGATATTTTGATCGCAAAAAGGGATGTCAATGTAATAACAAGAAACTCCAAGAAAAATAACAAAAGTGTTTCTATAGGAAATTCATGAAAAACAGTCAGAGTGAAAGAAACACATTTTTTTTTTTTTTTTTTTAGAGTGAAAGAAACACATTTTTTTTTTTTTTTTGATACAACTACTTAGAGGCATTAATGCTGAAACTGGTTTACATTTTTTAGTTTATAAACCTAAATATAATTGTTAACTAGGCTTATTAACTTGTTAAATTCATCTTTTAACTTTTCAATTATCTTTTTACCTTTTTTCTTGACTTGTTAACTTTTTTTTCCAACTTAATTTACAATAGGTAATATATCATGCAAAGGCTCATCTAATTGGTCAAATGCCAAATTAAGATGTACACCCATGTAGCAGTATCTTTGCTGAACGGCTGGGTATAGATCTTGTGCTTCTAGACCACACTGAGGGAGTCCATTAGTAAGTGTATGCAAGTGATCAAAAATGTTAACCTGCCCTATAAAGGGATAAGCCCATTGAATAAGCTAATAGGAGACCAGTTTTGCACACCGCACACACACCACTATGCAGGACCACACCCCAGATTTATATATACATATATATATATATATATGTGTGTGTGTGTGTGTGTGTGTGTGTGTGTGTTTATATATTTTTTTTAACACAAAAAGCCCTAAAAAATAATCTGCCTTGTTGGAAGAGTTATTAATCTACCAGATGGGGGAAATTGAACAGCACATAGGGAAGGTGAAGAATTATAGCAGAAATATCTCCATCATAAATTATGTGTAGTGGCGATCTAAAATTCGAGATTAATTATCAAAGTTATGCTCTTCAATTGAAAGTTACCTGGGAAGCCAGGAACCCCCTGCACTCCTCGCTCTCCCTTCACTCCATCGATACCAGGGAGGCCAGTCGGACCCTGAAACCATCACAAAGCAAAGGTCATCTATATTTGTAGCTCTTAGTGATTTGTCACAGGGATTTATCAGGTAATTAAACAGTAACATACAGGAAGTCCAGGTATTCCAGAGTCACCCTTTTGTCCAGACTCCCCCTGGAAACCAGGCTGACCAGCATCACCCTTCTCTCCCTTTTGGCCTTCTCTTCCTGGAATTCCATGAGGACCTGGTTCTCCTGGGGTTCCTGTTTTGTTGTTGTTTTTTTTAACAGAACACAATATATTAAATATATCACAGTTAAAAATCTCCTATATTACAGGTTCTGAAAACTCTGCAGTGTTTCAGGACCTCTAACACATGCAATACTTTTGTCAGAATTTTCACATTACCCGCTTCTCCAGATGGTCCTCTCTCTCCCTGCTCTCCCTTGGGTCCCTCCAGGGAAAGGCCAGGAAGACCACGTTCTCCTGGCTCTCCCTGTGGTCCCTGAGGGCCAGGGAATCCCTTCTCGCCTTTTATACCAGGAATACCAGACTGACCAGGCATGCCAGGCAGACCTGGATCCCCCTTTTCACCTGCAGAGGTAGAGAACAGGCTGCACAGTGAGATGCTGTTGTCTGATAGCATCATGAGGGTCACATGAGTCAATGTACAACAGGTTGTTACCTTTTCCACCGTGAGCTCCAGGTGGTCCGGGAAAACCTTGACCTGGTAAACCTGCAGAAAAGAGCATATAGAATTTTTATTTTAAGTCATTACAATGTTCTGTGGGTTTAAAAACAGCAGTAATATAAAAAATGAGAAAATAAACATGTACATATTAGTAATGGTTATATTTACCCTTTTCAAAATGTTTAATAATAAAAAATGTAAATAATTTTTTTTAAATTGAATTAAACTAAGTTCCTTTTTATCTAAGAATATTTCTGCAATATTTGCTGTAGCATACTTATGATATTAATAATAATTTAATAACTAGGCAAACTATCCCCTAAAATAGGATTTCTTTTGTATTGAGTAGGATGTCAAGCGTGTTTATAAAATATAAAATATTTAACAAGAGAAACAGGATAATATACTTTAGAGAGGAGATACAATTGCAGCTAAAAGCTTTGGTGTGCCATCAAGTCCTTGTGATCAGATCATAGATTACAGCTTTATATTGCTGGATAAACAAAAAATAATTAAATGCATCCTTTTGGAATCGCCTTTGTGAGACGTCTACAAACTAGACCATTATCATTTAAATTAGGAAAAAAGTCTACCTGTTTTTGAGCTGGCCCAAAAGATATGCATAGACAGAAGACTGTACAAACTATTGACTCGAGGTCAGACTTATTTAGTCAGACTAAGACTTACCCCATCTAAAATAATATTTCTTTAGTAGTGTGAAATATATTGTTTATTTGTTGCTCTTTCAGCTTTTAATAAAAAAGACCAACCTGGGTCTCCTCTCTCCCCAGTGGATCCAGGAATGCCATCATTTCCAGGTTCACCCTTCTCTCCCCGAGGACCGGGAGGTCCTTGGAGGCCTCCTTCCCCTGAAGAAAAATCCAATTCAATCAACAGCATTTCATGCATCTTGTTTGTCTTAAAAACATGCAAATTTACTTATTTAAAGGAGAAATAAGTGAGAAATTTACAGTCACATTAACCCAAATCATTAACATTTGTAACCAAGGATAAATTGAACATTCCCCATAAGCAATCTACCCTCTCCATCAACAATATCAAGTTTTTCTCCTTACAAACCAAGAAGTACAATAAGGAACTACTTTAGTGCAGTGTTTAAACCGTCTCTACTTCCTTGTTATGAGCCAATCCCCTTGGATACCAAAACAAAGCGCAGACAAACAAAGAATAAAAATGTTTGACTGATATAGGCCTATATATCAAACAACTTATCTATTTTTATTCTTCTTAAATAAACATAGCTCCTTCTTGCTGAGAAAACAGGAACCCTACATACCTGGACGGCCATCACGACCAGGCTCTCCAGCAGATCCAGGAAGTCCGGGATTACCCTTCTCTCCTGGCCTGCCTGCTTGACCTTTATAAAACAGAGACACAAACAAGAGTGGGTACTCACCAAAAAAAAACAAAAAAAAAAAAACAGCAGGTGTCATGGTTGAGAAAAGTGCTGGAAAAATCAGTTTCACGTCTAACCTGGATACCCAGTGCTTCCTTTGTCTCCCTTTGGTCCTTGGTGTCCAGGTTTTCCAGGCATTCCTTCCTGACCCTTCTCCCCTTTGTCTCCACGGGGCCCTGGAAATCCTGGCTGACCTGTCTGACCCTGCGAGAATTAAGAGGACAGTAAGTGAGAGATGGGCAGTAAAATGTGAGGTATATTTTAGTAACAGCTTGAGTCTCTTTTCTGAACTCTACGGGTGTGAGCGGTCTCTGGTTTTAAATGGGGACAATTAGGGGTAATGGGTCAGGTCTCGGTTCTGAACTCTACCGGTGCAGGCAGATGCAGTTTTTTAAAATCAGACCTGTGAAGAACTCTGCACCACCATGTTTCAAAATGAAAATGGAGAGGTCAGTGCAGTGTGCATCATACCATCACACAGTAATTTGCTTGGCTAAACAGATCAGATTGTTGCACCTGACCAGATGATCTTCCTCCACATGTTGCAGTTTGGCAAAATAATAAAGTGTATTCTTGAGGCATTCTCTCAACAATGCTTTTACAATCCTTATACTTTTCTATAAAGGCCAGATGTGTTGAGGGAATGACCAATAGTTGCCCTATGTTAATTTTATGTAATTAAACTTCAACTGATAGCCTTATTAAATCACACACCCCTGGTTTGTATTAAATTATCAAGGGGCTTTTTAAGGTGTGCCTCTGTGGCGCAGTGGGTAGCACTGCTTCCTTGCAGCAAGAAGGTTTTGGGTACGATTCCTGGCCTGGGGTCTTTCTGCAAGGAGTTGGCATGTTCTCCCTGAGCATGCTGGGGTTCTCTCCAGGTACTCTGGCTTCCTCCCACAGTCCATAAAACATGACTGTTAGGCTAAATGGCTTCTCTAAATTCTTCTTAAGTGTGGGTGTATGCTTGTCGAGTTTGTCTCTGTGTTGCCCTGTGATCGACTGGCGACCTGTCCAGGGTGAGCCCCGCTTCTTCCCATAGAGACAAAGAGGCACCACGCACCCCTTGTGACCCCAGCCGAGATAAGGGTGACAGAAAATGGATGGACTTTTTAAGGTGAATAGTGGAGTAGGGGTATTATGGAAAAAGAGCAGTGTAAAAATAAAAAGTTTGCAGGATATTTTGTGAAAAAGTTTTGAAATATTTTTTTCCCACTTCAGAATTTCCATGCTATATATGCAATATAATGCACTGAAGACAGTGTAAAACATTAAAAAGCTCAAATATGTTCTAATACAAGAACTACTAGTTTCATTCCAGTGTTTTACCTTGTCTCCTGGATATCCAGGAACACCAATACCTGGTTCACCAGGTATTCCCGGGTCCCCCTTTTCACCATCTGTCCCTTTGAACCCAGGATGACCCGGTGTACCAATATCTCCTTTAGAACCCTTTGGACCAATCGGACCTACACATTATACATAGAAGCAAAACAAATTAATTTACAAGCACTTATTTGAAAGCATATATAAATATTCCACATATATACGCGTACATATATACTAAATGTTTCCTAGAATGCATCTACCTGGTATGCCCATGTCTCCAATGCCGCCTTTTGGCCCAGGGGGTCCCATGGTACCAGGATCTCCAGGAAAACCAGGGTCTCCCTTCTCACCTTAGAAGCATCAGAACCATTGAATCGAAACAGCCATATATAAAATTGGATTTCATAAATGTGCAGTAAAATAGTCTGTAGTTAAGTTAGTCATTTAGGCTACCTGGCTGGCCAGGTGATCCAGGTTCACCATCTTTACCGGCCATTCCGGGGTCTCCTTGAATGCCAGGGATACCCTTGACTCCAGCAACACCAGGTTGACCTTGTTTGTGGAGAATTTATATTAATATTGGATTAAGTAGAAAATAAAAGGAAACTGCCTCTGTTGCTAAATATTACCTGGGTCACCAGTGTCTCCCTTTTCGCCTTTCATGTGCTCCATATCATAATCAGTCAGTTTTCCTGGAGGTCCCATAGGACCTTGATCTCCCCTCTCACCTTTCTCTCCTTCTTTTCCCTCCTCTCCTCTTGGTCCAGTAAGACCAGGATCACCTATGATTTAAGGTCACACAAGAAGATTTTTACTGCTGCTGAGAGAACTAAAAGAAGGGCTAATAAGCCATTTATGATCATTTTTGTTTTGTGTGTCTAACCTCTCAGACCAGGTGATCCAGGTTGACCTGCTGGTCCAGGAAAACCTGGTGTTCCTGGAATTCCCATAACCCCCATTTCACCTTTGGGACCTAAAACAGATACAGAACCACATAGTGTTTTATAACCACAACTCAAATCTGAGGACGGTGGGCTGGGGAGGCTAAAAATCAGATTAATATAGAATTAAAATGCAATGCTTTTAATACACTACTCATAACTATGTCTTTGTTCATCAAAAATCTGGAAATGTAATAATTTGAGCATCAAATTTTAGACTTAAAAAAAAATTCTTAGGTTTAATATTTAGAAAAGGTAAAACATAAAAACAGCAATTTAACTGTTCTATAGCATATCGAAAAACATAAATTTTACAGTTAAACCAATAAACCAAAATAATTACACTGTTAATACTCCATGGCTGTCAACCATAGAACAGCGAGCACGTATCTGCATGGCTGTTTGCTGAGCCCCTCATTTTAAATGGATTTCAATGAAAACTGATCTGGTTATAAGTGGAAAATGGGACAAAAATTTAAGTACTTTTAAGAACTGAACTTACATGGGGTTCCATAACGGCCACATTTAGAACTAATTGATGAGCTTCCAAAAGCTACCAAAGGCATAAACATATCCCAGAGATGTGCAAAATTAGATTAATTCTTCAAAGATTAATTCAGCAAATTAAAACCTATGGGTTATTGGTGGTATTACACTTTAAAGAGCACAATCTGCCAAAAATCTGAATAAAAACATCTCAGTCCTGTTATCATGAAATTATTATTATTATTTTTTTTTTTTGGAGCTTGGAACAAAAAGATGAATTATGTTCAATCTGGATTTAGATTTTTTTATATAATGCCTTTTCATAACCCAGTCATCTCAAGGCACTTTAAATAGACAATACTGACAGATTGGTTAAGAAAACCAGTTACTTGTTTATGGTCATAGACTTGCAAGATATGCTCCTTCTGGATGAGCCTGCAATGACGATTTTCGCTTGCTTTATGTCATTGATGCTACATTCACACTGTACGCGATTGAAGCAGCAGAATCAGTCCTTTTACATGCAAAGTGAATGGTTGATATACGCATCAAGGCGCACCAAAAGCCCCTGCAGCAAGAGCATCTGAGCAGCAGGAGCAGTGCATCATGAGCTTCTCAGCATCTGAGGCGCATGACGAGCTTAACAAGCAGCAGCTGCTGGAGTTTGAAAATTTGTACTTTTGCTGCTCGGCGCGCCACATCAACCAATCAGAGAAGCTGATCTTGGAGCTGACAGAGAAACCAACACAGCACTGCTGATGTAGAGGTATGACCACTTCCTTGAAACAGTCTATTAACGGCTAAATTAGCTAAACATGACGAAACCTGCCGGCAAAATATGTTTGCTTTTATTACTCAGGTGCTTGCAGTTTGTAACGCATACCTGAAAAACGCTAACATCTACTCCCACCCACCACAAACATTAGGGGAAAATCCTCCAAGAATTGACTGGGATTGAGGCAGCAGCTGCTGGGGATTCCCAGCACTGCCACTATGTGGGGGTCTATGCGGCTCTGACAGCAAAATAAAATTTGAAGGCAGGATCGTAATCTTGATGAACTGACTACAAAGACGATGTTTTAAGATTTACTGTCTCGCTTAAAAATATATTAAAACTACTTTTTAACCAGCTTATCACAGCAAGCTGTCCTCTGCCATTGAACACAGGAGCAGCAGAAGCATCAGATGCATCTGGACACACTTTACTGGATGCGTCAGGAGCATCATAGATGCTCCTGATGCGCCTCTGCCTTTAATGTGTACAAGCATAAAAAATTAAGTAGCAGGCACTTTTTTTGCTGCTTAAAGGACATTCGTTGTAAACGTCACATGACTCTTCAGCAATCCCTCATATCGAGCGTGCATGCAGCGAGATTGGAGAGGAAAACTCCTTTTTAACAGGAAGAAACCTGCAAAACAACCGGGCTCAGTGCTAGCGACCATCTGCTGAGGCCGATTTAGGTTCAAGGAGAGAGAAGCAGATATAAAAAAAAGTAACTATTAAGTAGTTAAACAGGCGGCCCCCATCCAGGAAAGACGCAACCAGGCAGATGAGCTCCAAGCCAGTTCTGATAATCACAGTCAGAGAAACAGGACTACATGGAAAAACATGCCAAGCTCAAATATCTATTAACTAAGATGTTGATGGCAGCAGCACGGCAATATTTCTATCTAGGATGGAGTCACAGCCAAACAGGAACAGACCAGATGAAGCTACTATGATGAGAAAAAGCTGAGAGAGCATTAAGTTATGAGTGGAACTTGACAAATACTGCCAAATGGGAGAGTAGAGACAGAATGATGCAGAATAAGAGAAAGTGGTCCCTATGTGATCCAGCAGCCTAAAACATAATGAAAGATGATGAAAGATTTAGCAAGATTTGGTTTGACTATCCAAAATAATTTTCTCTTTATCTGTAACACAAAACTGTAAGTATTGAGACAAACAGAGCTTGTTTTGAGTGAAAACAGAAAATAGAGAAATTTTATTATTTTTGTTTTACTGAATCTCAGCTGATAAAGATGATTAAAGAAAACATTTTAAAATGTTTTAGAACTAAAAACACTTCTGTTTGATTCACTCACCTTGGTACCCAATCAACCCATCTCTGCCTGGCACACCTGGTAAACCTGGCACTCCTTTGACCCCTGGGATTCCTTGGAGGCCAGGGCTTCCTTTGTCTCCTTGAGGCCCCGGCATATCCAGACCTGGAGGGCCAGGGTAGCCCTTTGCTCCTTTTATACCTTCTCTACCTGTATAAAGAAAATGCCGTTCATTTTCTTTGAATTAAGATATACTTAACATAATATACTTTCGATTAATGTATAAAAGTTTACTTATTTAAATGTCTGTTTTTCTACTTAAATTGCAGCATTACCAGCATCATTAAATGGTCCTGGTTTATAAAAGTAAAAATGCTAGGAAAGGTAGTGAGTTTGTGTTTACCATGGGGTCCTGGTTCTCCACGTGGTCCCTGGGGTCCTTGTGGTCCAGGTAAGCCTTTCCCTGGAGCCCCTGGTTGGCCAATCTGACCAGGTGGTCCTGGAGGTCCAACTTCACCTTTTTTTTATGAAACATATTCAATAATGATTAGCTCACATTGTGTACAAAGCACAATTAAGCTTGACTTTTCACAGCTTCCATTGTTACCTTTAACACCCTGAGGTCCTGGGGGTCCTGTCTTTCCTTCTGGCCCCGGAATACCTGGGAAACCCACGCCACCCTTGTCTCCTGGGAAACCAGTGACTCCTGGGTTGCCCTGTGAACCTTTTGGTCCAGGAAGACCCCGTCCAGGTTCACCCTAAAATGTTTGAAAAGAGGACCTGTCAAAAATCTAAAGAATTTTTAAGGAATTGCATATATTTCCTAAGTAATTCTTCACTGCCAAATTTTAGATATGTGCGGCAATTAAAATTTTTTTTAATGGTTTTGTGCAATCTTTATCAGAGGCTATAAAAGAATATACTAAGAATTTCACATCTTAGGTTTTCATTTCACGTGTTTAATCAACAGCACAAATACATGTGGAAAAATACACACTTTTTGTCCTGGTAGACCAGGTTTTCCAGTCAGGCCATCCTGTCCTGGTCTACCTGGCACTCCAGGTGATCCTTTAGTTCCAGGAATTCCACTGAGTCCTGGAAACATACAGATCGTTTTCTCATGGTTACTTTTGAAATCCCACAGTGGGGTATTATATGTCATCTGTTTTACCTTTAGGACCCGGTGGGCCAGGAAATCCAATTCCAGGTGGTCCAAGTTCACCCTTTTGTCCAGGAAAACCTGGTAGACCTTGGTCACCTGGCAGTCCTATTTCACCTGCAAGAAAAAAAATACTTAGCATTATAAACTCAACGAAGATCAGTGACCTGATTAGGATCTGAGAATTAAATAAGAAACACCTTTAAAATAGATGTATTTATGATGACCGTGCTGCTACTTACCTTGCAGTCCTGGTATTCCATTAAATCCTTGTGGTCCAGGTGGCCCCAGGGGTCCTGGAGTGCTAACACCTTTACCGGGTTCTCCCTTTATGCCTTTTACATATGGACATTTTCAGTGAAATGCTAAAGTTTTAATGCAATAACTCGCTGTGTTTCTAGTGTTTATTCTAATGATTACCAGGTTGTCCTGGAACTCCTGGACGGCCTGGTGTTCCCTGACTGCCTTTCTCTCCAGGTTCACCTGGTCGGCCAAACCCTGGAATCCCAGGGGGGCCCCTTTCTCCAGGAGGACCATCCAGACCAGGTTCCCCCTCTGGTCCACGTTCTCCTTTTATACCCTCTTTGGCCTGTGATAGAGACATGACAAAATAACTTAAAATGCACTTGCCTGTGCAAAATTCTAACCATCACAGACACTTGGATATTTGTGAGTTTTTCCGAAAATGTTTAAATATATCCAGGAGTTTTTATCAATTCTGGCGGTTCGGCAACAGCAACCTGCAGTTGGAACACTGCTGTGTTAAAACAGACTGAGGCTCAAAGGTACTTTCAAAGTCAGACAAAAATTTATGACCCAAAATTCATCCTCCTGAGTTGCTGAAGTCTGTCCATTAAAATGCGTTTGCTTTTTAGGGACATAGTTTGACAAAGAAAAATGCAAATTGAGATACAAATTTTTCTTCAATACGAAGGAGAAGTCTCAGACTATGGTTACAAAATGTATGTACCTGAACAGTTTCTACAAGCTACAACAGAGAATGGTCCAATAGGTTCCTCAATTCTCAATAGCAAGCATTTATAACAGCTTTTCTTTACTTCAGCTTTAGCAAAAAGTACTGAGTTACAGCTTAATGATTTAAGTACATTTAATATACAGAGCCATCCCCCCTACATGGTATTTGATCTGGTTTACTCCTCCTCGATTCCACTGATGTATGGTGTGCCGCAGGAATCCATTCTAGGGCCTTATGTAGCTCTTTGCATTACACATACAATTGAATGGCTTTGTGTGAAAACCCACTAGACCAGCAGAGTTTTATGGTCTGCTGGCCAATATCTGCTGGAGGCCTGTCCCTCTAGGGGTAACCGATGTGAGGATCATTCATATTTTGTGGCTGGTCCAACATCCTGGATTAGTCTTCCCTAAGAGCTATACTCACTCACTGACTTGCATCTGTTCAAAGCCCAAAACAAGGGTTATGTATTTAAAAAATCTTTTTAATTTTCAGTAATAATTTATATTAGTATAGTAAAATAATATCCTTCATTAATATTCTGTAAACTGTTTTGGTCATTATAATGTGGCGTTGGAAGGTGCACTGTAAATCAGGTTTATTTGATTTGAAAAAGACTCAACAGCATCTTTTTCTTCCCGAGAAGACAGACAAATAAACTCCATCCACCTCTGCTTAAAAGCTTTAACTGATGTACAATACAAAGTGTCCTGACATATGACTGCACAGTGTGTGCACAGGGCTGCATCCAAGAAGAAACAACAGCATTGAGTCATTAGGGGTCCGTTTCAAGAAGCAGGTTTACTGAAAAGTTTTCTAAAATTGAAATCAGGGAAACTTTGAGTTTTCCGTTTCACAAAGAGAGTTAATTGAACCTCTGTTTCAGTCACCGTACTATCATTCTCCCCAGGACTAAACTGGTCAGGAACAGGTTTTGTTCCCTGAACTCTGTCTCCGCTCTCCTTAGAGCCAATCACTTTGTTTTATTTCCTGATTTGGTCAGATTTTTCTCACAGATTTGTGCATTTAAAAAAAAATGTCCGTTAGACACATTAGGTTTTAAAAATAAACATTGCATGTCCGTTTGACGAGGAGCTTATTAAAGACTGATCTGCATTTTTTCACAGAGATTTAAATACTGTATTTATAAGAAGGGGATTCTACAACTCAGTTGACAGGAAATTAGATTTATTTGTTTTTGGTTTGCTTAATATGAGCGACATGCAGATCATTCTTCATTTTCAACTTTATCATTCAGTGATAACAACCTAATGAGCCTACTGGTACAATCTGAAGCCATTCTATGGGAATGATGATCGCTAATAACGACCATTTATTGGGATGATAACATCCAAAGTAGCGCTAAACAGCCACTTAGCATTTACTGTGTAAAAGACAACAGAATACACATTAGGAGGAACCCATGAGATGATGCACAAGTTCTATCTATTAGAACAACATTTTTAGACTTAATTATCACCTGCTGCCAGGTAAATAGATACATTGATACACTACCATTCAATAAATAAACCCGTAATGTTATTATGGTCACAACAGGATTTATATTTTTTTGACTATGAAGAAATGTAGATATATGATAAATACATATTCAGTCAAGCTGATAAATGTAAAAACAGCCACTTAAAATGTGTAAATATTTTTAAGTATATAAAACTTAATTCTTAGAGGTATAATTTTGTTTTTTACTTTCTGAAATTCAGTTTCTGCTGCAAAAATGTATTGTAGAAAATATATTATTACAATACCGTCCAAGATTGTGATTTTGATCAGGAAGAATCTTATTTTAGTGATCTACAAATGGGACAACAGAGAGGAGAGTGCTTTTAATAAATGTAAAAAAGGCCTGGCTTAGCCCACTTCATATAAACCCTTGCATTAACTCGAGGAACAATCTTCATGTAATTCGATCAACAATCTTCTTCTTCGCCATCTTCCTCTCCTTTGCAGCTGTAGTGCTGTTTCTTTGTCCTTTAAACACATTATCCATTTTTTTTTATTTCTGCATTAAAATCTCTGGTTCCAGTTGTGTGAACTGTTGCCTGTTGTAATGGTGACTCGTTGAATAGGTGCTCCACTGATAATGGCGTTTCATACTTGCCACGCACGTACTCAACTCTGAGTGGACCTACTAAGAGTTGATTGCACTAATTCATAGCAGCTGTTGTGAAACAACAAGTTCCCAACATAAGACTAGATCAATTTAGAGTTGCACTGTTAAAAGACTTGTAGATAAATGAATTTCTTCCCATGCTATGGAGGGGGGAATTTTTATGTATGATAGCATGTTGTATACTAGAAACTTCTTTAATCCAGTAATCTGTCATATTTTACATTAGAACGGGATTTAGCAGAAAGTCTACTCTCTCATCTTCACCCTCAGGGCTAAGCCCCTGATCTCCTAGAATCCTAGATCCTCCCCTGCTTCAGAGTGATCAGTTACATACTTAATAACTAAAATAAGCATAGCTGCAGGGCTAAATGACTGTATCAATGCACTTACAGGTTCTCCTTTGAGACCTGGTTGACCTGGAAATCCATCTCTCCCCGGCAGTCCATCTTTGCCTGGTTGTCCCTGTGATCCAGGAAATCCAGGAAGACCTTTCTCCCCCTTATACCCGGGCGCTATAAAAATGTCTCCAGGTTCACCTACAGCACCAGGGGCCCCCATCAATCCAGGAGTTCCTGCAGGACCCTGCACAAAAATACATGTGGTGGTACACATTACTATCAGTTAAAATATGGATATCATTTAGATATCATGTATTTCCTATTTATTTTTGGATCTGTGCAACTGTTATATAATTGACATGAAGACATTGTTTTAAACTCACAGGAATTCCAGGTTCTCCAGGTGGCCCAGAACGACCCTTCTCTCCTTTACCCCCAACTGGACCTGGGGGACCTGTCAAGTAAAACAGACCATTGGGTTCAAAACTCTTTTATTTTTACCTGCAAAACTCTAACTAATTAATTTCAATGTAAATAAGAGACACCTGAAAACAAATATCCAAATCCTATTAGATAAAACTGAAGTCCAGTTTACAGAATTTAACAGTTGCAATTGTCATGACATTTTCATAGCAGCTCATGAACTTCCATGTGCCCCTGTTGCACAAAACAGTCATTATTACAATAGTCAATAAATTGGAATATGTCTGCTTATGAGGCTCTTTGTCTGAGTAAAATCATCTTTTTGAAACAAAGCAGGTATTAAACACTGTACAAGTACTATTTAATATACAAGTAGTATTTTTATGTACTATCAGGGTACATGTAATTAATCAATATAAATTGTTTCACTTAGGAACTGAATTTTCTATAAAAATTTTAAAAATTATTGTACTTAACCTAATAGAAAAGCATATGCTACACAATGATCAACATTTATCTTTTTTAGGTAAACTGAACCTTTACACTGAAATTTGGGTTTTTCCACAGGAAAGCGGATATTATCATTGGGAGAAGACCTCTCATCCAGGCAGGGCATATAACTGGCTACATGGTCGAGAGCCCAATCAGCAAAGACCAAAGGCAGGATCCAGGAACCAAAAGATGAGAGCAACTTCTGCTTCTAAAAAAGCCACTACCAGCCCTCAGTTCCTTAAGAAGTTTTCACTAATCAAAGCTTTCTAAAACCATCTCCTTTTCAGTTTGAAAACAGCAAGAAATTAGTTTGCAAACTGTTTACAGCAGGACAGATGTGATTGGAAAATATAAAAGCTTAATTCTTTATGTTCAAGACCAGAACAGGTTTCTTTCAACAACTACAAAATGACTGACCAGATACACACTAGAAAAACCAATTCATAGAAACACATCTTCCATGCAGGTAACAAAGGAACTGATGGCGCCTTTCCATTGGTACAACTTTATTTGCCTCATTTGTGTCAGGTATTTTCTACACAAGTGGAGAAACCAGATCCTCATGTCAAAGGGCATAAAAGAGTCTTATGTCTAAAGACAACATGATTTACGTTTAAACAACGTCTACGTTAGGTTGAAAAGCTAAAGGTGAAAAGCCGTAATTTCCAGATCGATGAAAAGCCTGTTTGCAATGTTTTTTCAATATCTATTATTGGACTACAGTGGGACAAAATCAGATGGACCAAACACAGCACAATTTTCAACAAGTATTTCTGGACTAAATCAAGAATATGACGGACCGACCAGATTTAGGCTGAAAACCAACGTCTCAATGACGTCTTGTGTTTGGGGGGATTCTTTCAAAATTTAAATAAACTCATGAAAACTTATTGCTGTGTGTGTGTGTGGGGGGGGGTTACACAAGCCGATCTTAATGTTCATCAGCGGCAGCAATGCAAGGCAATAATGGAGGACTTTCTGCTCAATAGAATTGGTTCCACATGGAATGGAAAAGCCTAGAAACCACATTGATCCTTGCAGAAAAGGAACCTTAACCTAACATAGTGTATTACTGAAGCTAATGCAACACCTACACATAAAACTAAGAAATGTGAACTAAGACCTGAACACAATAGTTTTCTTTTTTCTTTCTGGGTAAGAAATTTTAGATGTTTAGTTTATGGCAGCTCTTTAGGTAGTACAATGATTGATAATACCTTAAGTGGGTTGCCATCTAGTTTTTCCCCAAAAGTGGAAAATACTGTGTTGGCATATCAGCAACCAAATGTTCTTCTTTTAACTGCACACAAGCTTTTTGAACATTGAACTTAAACATTCATCATTGGTTTGTGCTCATGGTTTACCTACCTCGCTCTCCTTTAACCCCTGCTGGGCCAGGTAATCCAGGTGTGCCGCTGCCTTCACAAGTAACACAGGCATCTCCTTTCTCACCTAAAATTAGGCAAAATTCTATCAAGAAACTATGCTGTGCCTTAATGAACTTGTTAAAAATTTGAGCATCAGCAGCCGCCGCTGTCCCTTAAAACCGTTGAAACATATATCAGTAATATCAGCAATCATTACCTTTTTGCCCATCTTCCCCCGATAATCCTGGAGGTCCAGCTGGACCACGGTCTCCTTTCTCCATATTACACTCTTCAGGGTTAACTACGTTAGCCATACATGCACGTGGTGAATTACAAAAAACAGTTTTGGAAGCACAACAAAGTAAATGAAGTAATAAATAAGCCCTACGTGGTGGACCCGGTGGCCCAGGGGCTCCGATTTCCCCCGGTCGTCCTGGTGGTCCTGGAAGAGATTGTCCATCGAAGCCTCTGTCACCCTTTTCTCCCGTTTCACCCTTCTGACCAGGCTCGCCAGGAGGACCCTCTATGAAACGGCCTGTCATACAAAAAAAACCATTAATATTGCATCAGATATTCTTATAAAATATTCCCTACTTTTTATTTCCATTGAGACTTCGAGTAATTTGTATGAATATACATCAAAATAAGACATAGCTTTGAAGTAAATGACTAAAATTTCTTACTATATTATCAGTTTAACATAAACGGACACATTTGCCAGTGACATCCAAACAAATAACCACCTTCCAATCTAAGATTCCCCTTAAACTCCTAAGATCCTGCATTATGAAGCCTTCTACAACTGCCACTGTTACATAAAAACGCTGATAATAAATAAAATTCAAATGAAACTAGAGTTCTATCGTTAGCATGCTCAAAATAGATTAAGGTCAACAAGTGTCTATTCTAACATTTTACCTGGTGGACCTGTTTGACCTGGAAAACCACGGTCACCTGTGGTTGGAAAAGGAATTGAGCAATGAATGAAAGTAGGTCATGTTAGAAGCGATCTATTGTGTCTGTGAGTTAATGGACACATAAAAGTATCGTCTATACCTTTTGCTCCGTGTCCCCCTGGAGGACCAGGAGGCCCAGGGGGGCCACGTGGACCTTCACCCTACAGTACAACCACATCATTAATGACATTAGCTCATACTTTTCTACTACATTTTAACAACAGTATCAATTATTCTGCTGCCAGATGAGCATATGAACATTATTGATTAGTGGATTATGTGTAAAAATCAATATAGTCTGTATTTAACACTGATTATTTTTAAAATGACTGAAATTACTTTATATTTATGTTTATGAAGTTTTTTTTTCTATCGCCAAGCGACTTGAGAGGACATTTTTTGTAAAAATGGAGTGTTGTCAATAAACTGGGAATGATTACTTCTATTGCTTTTATTAATTAACCAAGACATTAACAAAAAAAAGGAAAATAAATCCAAGTAAACACCAGAAGGAGCAGAGTAACTCACATAACCCGGTGGTCCTCTATCTCCCTTTACACCCTAAAATCAGATACAAAAATGTCAGAAGATTAATATAAATGACTGGATGGGTTAATTATTGGAATATATAAACTTGTAAAGCATGGGGTAGTTACAGTTGAACCAGGATATCCGGGAAGCCCTTGGTTGCCTTTTTCTCCCTGCAGTAAAATAAGTTGATGATTAATTAGTGTTGAAAACTTTTAAAGAAAGTGTTTGTTTTGCAGATAGATGATAAATATTAGTTTTACCTTTGTGCCAACCTTTCCATCTTTACCAGGTTTACCCTAAACATTGACATAAAAGGTTAAAACGTAGATAGTAGATACGCTTCCAAACAAGTATTTACTCTTCCGGGAGAATCTAATGTAAATTATCTCTTTAGTTCTTATTTGTTTCAAAGGTAAAATTGACCATGACATACCTCTGCTCCAGGTGGGCCAGGTTCGCCTTTGAATCCTTTCTGATAAGGGAGACAGAGGCCCTAAAAAAAAGAAATCAATGTTTTAATAAAAGGTCAATAATAATAAAAATACTTTTTCTTAAAAGCAAAGGCTACATCGCAAAGATCAAATACTAACTTTCTCTCCTTTGTCGCCCTTGTCTCCTTTTATATGCTGTGGGAATTAAATGCAACCAGATGCACAATCAGTTAATGACACATTCTAAATGTTTTAATTTGGAATTTCAGTTTCAAAGCACTAAGTGAGTAGCCATGGTCGTACCCATGTGGTGTTTGCTTTCACTTCTTCATATCTTCCAGGTGGACCAGGTGGGCCTATGAGTCCTTTTTCACCCTGCAAGGAAACATTAACACTATAATGGTCACAGGTGAACACATACCAGTCCTTTTAATATAGAAAATTGAAATTAATATCCTCAAAAGACAGCATATAAGCATTATTTGATATAGGATAAACCACACTGAGAAAGTGGGGGCAGGTGCCACCCTAAATGGAATATGGTTTGTAAGAACGTTTTCAGACATTGTTTAGGTTTATAGTGAGGCGGGCTCAGTTTGAGTCCTGATATCTACAGATATTAATCAATACAGCTGAGTTTCACCAAGTAAGGACTTTACAGTATCTTCATCTGCTGTCGGACGCAGGCTATGCTGCTTCCTTACGCAGGATCCAACAGCTGACTTTTCCCTTAATATTTTCCTTCTTCCTGCTCCTCTGCACTGTTAAAGGTTGTAATATCTGTTGTTACTTTTAACAATAGCATGTCAGCCTGGATACTGTCACCGATGGAAGTAGGCCTCAGTGCTAGGCCTACTTAGTTGTGCAGGGAAATGATGTACAGCTGTGAACAGAGTCAGACACCTAATTACGCCTTTTTAAAGCTTGACCAGCTTCTTAGAAACTAAGTAATCTAATCTATTCCTCTGACCTATGGACACACAATACCTTGGAGCAGACAGATATGGTTAACAACAATGCCCTTTGTTGTGCTTACTGTCACTAATGGAAGAAGAATCAAGAATGTTAGGTTTGTTTATTCGATGGATGAAGTGCTCGACTTAGTCTTTATTACAAGTTATAATAATTTCAAGTAAAATAAAAAATAAAAAACAGTGGAAAAAGCAGGTAAACCTATTGTTCACATATTTATTGCACTTTAATGAGATGCAATCTAATTTAAAAATGGTTAATTTATTTAAAATAATACCAGACAGGTTAACCTCCTATTGATTTATTCTGGAGTGTTAGTTGAATTTAAAATAAAATTTGAATGTTTTGCCAGTATTTTTTCCTATGTTTTGTTTATGTGCATATTTATTTAATTTATAACTAAGTTTCCTCAAAAGAAATAACAAAAATCTAGGAGATTTATTTCACAGTCACATTGGTTACATTTTTGATTCAAGATTTACTGAGTCGATTTCGAGTCAGTGAATCATCTCGTATCGGATCGTTCCAAATCAGGAGTTACCAAGGCGGGCACCAAGAGGCCCTAAGGGACCATGTGAAGGGCCCTCAGCATCTTCTAAAAACAGCACAACTCACCTGTGGGATAAGTTTTAAATTTTATGTTATTCAGTTTCTTTTCTTTTTTAATTATTTATAGAGCATTTCGTCATATTAATCATAGAGAGCATTTAAGAATGTATAGAAATTGCAAAATGACAGGATCTAAAATAAAATTTATGATTAAAAGAAACAATAAAAGTATGCTTATTGTGCTTAAAGTTTAGGTGAACACTGACCCCTCCTTCTGTTGACTCAGTAGCTCTCAGACTAAAAGAGATGGGTGACCCCTGTTCTAAATGAACCAAAATCGTCCATTAATCACCATGAATCATGATATGAATCGAATTGTTGGTAAAATAAATTGTTGGATCCCCAGTTAAAAAGTTAGCCTGTATAGTTCTTTTGAGCTAATTGCTGTCAGCTTTGAAGAGGCTGAATTCGAAATAAAGATTTGGACAAATATTCAAATTTGGTCTAATGTTTGTAAGCACCTGTATTGCTGATTTAAGATGCTAAAAATTCCAAGATTTCAAAGTATACACAAAGATGACCTATACTATGTGCCTATGTCACACATTTTTGGTGTCTGTTTCAAGTTTAATATATTCACATTACTATGTCAGCGGAAAATTTGTTGGAAAATCATCCAAGTCCCATGTTAGCTAATCTAAAATTCCTATTAATTAAAAAATAACTCTCACCTTCTGTCCTTTTTCACTCACAAAGGCCAATCTGTCACCCTGGAGACAAATGATAAAGTTATTGTAAAATCATTGATAGAAAAATGCTGAAAAATGCTGAAAAAGGATCTTACTTTCTCTCCTGGAGGGCCGGGCGGTCCAGGATCACCCTGTCAGTTAATTATAATTAGTTAAGAGGATGACTTCAGTGAGATCTTCAGTTTGTATTATTGCTTTGACTTTTGTGTTACTTACTTTGAGTCCTGGATATCCTCGGGGTCCGGGGGGTCCAGTTGGTCCAACTTGTCCAACAGTTCCCTTGGAGAGGAAGACAGGTAGAAGAAGGAAATCATTACAATCCAATATGGTTTCTGACATGCCTGAAGTTGCTCAACCAACATGCTACAGTACGCACAGGTATTCCAGGTGTGCCAGGTAACCCTCTGTCTCCTTTAAAAGGGACAAACCCAATTACACCACCAGGGTCTCCCTGTAGACGAGAAAGTCATTGTCAGGTTGTTGGAGTCAAAGATTTGTAAAACTATAGAACAGATATTAAAGCCAAAACTCACTTTCATTCCTTGCAGTCCTGGTAGGCCCTGAAGAAACAAGAATAAATTAAACCAACCAATCAATAACTAGAAAGAAATCCAGTTTCTGTAACAATCATTTAAAAAGTGAACGGTTCTGCTTACGGGCGGCCCTTGAAGTCCAGGAAAACCATTCAGACCGTCCATTCCTCTTTCACCCTGAAACACAGACATCAAATCATTAGAGGGAACAAACGTAGCAGTTCATAAAACAATATAATCATGTCTAGGGTGCTCAGAAAAATCAGAGCAACAATGTTCTTCCAAATCTATGAGAAACAAAGGCAGCTTACTTTGGTCCCATTGCATCCTGGGATTCCAGGCGGACCTGGGGGACCGTCATTTCCGTTGAGCCCCTAAGATTAAGATTATAGAAAAAGTCAATTTTAATAGTTAAGCATTAAGTTGTGATAGAAATTCTAAACAGACATCAACACACAGAAAGGAGTATAATAATATATTTAGCTGATAAAACCCTCAAATGGAGGCATTCTTAGAAGAATTCAGTACAATGGTGTAGCATGTGTGATTAACATACTGGTAGTCCTGGATTTCCTGGAAACCCTGGTTGCCCAGGAGGACCCTGAAAAATAACAAGCATCCGGTTAACACAAAAGCTTCTACTGAAGCAGTGAAGTTAGGGTCGTGCAGTTTTATATTATATAGTTGTTTACTTACGCGCACTCCTTTTAATCCCGGAGCACCAGGTGCTCCTAGATCACCCTATTGGATAAATTATTTCATTATTACAATTATATCTGAAATATTTCTGGAAAAGCTTAAATATCAGTTCAAAAGAATAAAAATGTTGGTGGTGTATAAAAGGGCTATATGAGTGGGTTTGGTAAATCCTTAGTCATCCAAAGCTTACTCAGTTTCACTGATGTAAAATCTACCAGCTGCTCTGCTGATTTGAATAAGAAATTAACATGTGTCATGTGAGAGTAAAAAATAAAAACAAAACTGTCAAGATTGGAGCTTCTTTGGTGAAGAGATGGGATTCCATTTATTCATTAACACAAGTTTTGATCACTAGGAAATGCTTCCAATTTTTTCAATAATCTTAAAAAAAGATTCCAATTGAAATAGTCTAAAAGTGTGTACCTACCTTGGGGCCCATTGGCCCTGGAGGCCCCTCATGCCCCTGCATTCCTGGGAATCCCATATTACCCTGTAGACCAGGAAATCCACGCTCACCCTGTGATATGCAAGACAATATAAAAAAATAAAATCAGATCCTTTAGCTCAGGAAAAGCCGCACCGACACAGTTAACATACATTTGCACCAGACATAACCAGATGGGCACGTAACTTTAAAAAAAATGACTAGATATAGTTGTTAATTACTTCCTGAAAAACATATCTACATCACAAGTTCCTAAGCAAAATAAATATTTACGTACTTTTTATGATCCTAAATGTCTATGAAT